CATGCCGCGCTTCATTTGCATAAGCTTTTCCTCAAGAAGGCTACAGTGTTGATGTAGGTTGGGGGTGCATCTACACTGCACCCTAAGTGTGAAATAAGAAACACAATTTGCACTATGCAAATTGCATATCTTATTTCAAATCTAGTTCAAAATATCTTATTTTGAAATTTGGTGCATCTACATGGCGCCAAATTTCAAAACACTGTGCTATTTTGAGTTATCCCTTCTCCCTCGTGCAATGAAGTTTACTGAGATGGCAAAATAGCATGTCCGTTATTTCGAAAAAAATTTCAAAATAATGGGTGGCTTGTGTAGACATGGGGTAGCTATTTCAGGATACTCTCCAGTATCCTGAAATAGTCATGCCATGTAGACGTACCCTGGAATAAATTGCTTAGGGTAGTTGTGGAACCTCCATCACTGGAGATATTTAAGAGCAGGTTAGATAGGCATCTATCAGGGATGATCTAGATGATGCTTGGTCCTGCTGGGAGGGCAGGGGACTGGACTTGATGACCTCTTGAGGTACCTTCCAGTTCTAGTGTTCTATGATTCTATGGTGTGAAAGGACAAAAGGACAAGATCAGCTTGTTCTAAAACCTTAAAGGATATGGAGAAAAATAATCAGTACAACTCACTAACTACAGATAATGCTGCCTTTGTTGAATAAAGCAATTAGTGTTAAATGCAAAACATGTTTTGAAAAACATGTTTCTTATATAGCCATTATATTATTAATTATTATTATTATTAGTCAATTAATCACAGTTAACTCACATGATTAACTAATTAGGGAGGTTGATTAATCACAGTTAACTCACATAATTAACTCAAAAATAATTTCTCAGAGGGGTAGCCATGTCAGTCCATAATTTTAAAAATAATGAGCAGTCCTGTGGCACCTTAGAAACTAACAAATATATCATATGGAAGTTCATGATATATTATATTTGTTAGTCTTTATGGTGCCTCAGGACTGCGCGTTGCTTCAAAAATAATTGTGATTAGCAAAATTAATCACAATTATTCATCATTTTAATCACATTGTTCAACAATAGACTACCAATTGAAATTTATGAAATATTTTGGATGTTTTTCTACATTTTCATATATATTGTGTTCTTGTTGTATTATGGTGTAGTTGAAGTCAAAGTGTATGTTGGCTTTTATTACAAATGCACTGCAAAAATAATAAATAAAAATACTATACAAGTACTGCTGTGCAATCTCTGTTCTGAAAGTGCAACTTTTAAACAAAGTTTTTTTTCCATATATAACTTCACTCAAAACAAAACAATGTAAATCTTCAGAGCCTACAAGTTCACTCAGTCCTACTTCTTCTTCAGCCAATCACTAAAAAACCAACAAGTTCATTTTCATTTACAGGAGATAATGCTGCCTCTTCTAATTTACACTATGACAAGAGAGTGAGAACAGGCATTTGCTTGACACTTTTGTGTTTTACACTTTTTGTCAGATGTAGTATATTTGAAAATGTGGAAAACATCCAAAACATAAATACATTGTATTCTATTATTGTTTAATGGTGTGATTTATCACACAAGTAATTAGTAATGTTAGTGATATGATTAATATGATTAATATTATTATTATTATTATTATTATTATTATTGGAGCATTTTAACTGAATTTGAATTTGCCTTCAAATAGAGTGTCACACAAATCACAAGTATTAAATTGATTATCATCTAGTTAATAAGAAATGCATCGTTTTCTAACAATGTCAAAATTAAGAATCTAAATAAATACACATCAAGCTACCCAACTAATCAGATAACCAGGAAGGTGAACCAAACCTACAAACGTTTATGGAAAAGAAGCCCCACATTTCATGTAAAGGCTATATTTAGCTGGAAATCAATGTTTTAATGGCTACCAACTGGTGAGAATAAATCACTCTTTTGGAACAAACTTAAAAAGTATCAAAAGACACAATTAAACAGGGTGCTTTAAATCAAAGTTACTTGCCTCCTGATTTCAATCATGATTAAAATGTCAGTGATTTAAAGCACTGTGATTTAAACCTGTCTCCCTGAAGCCAGGGTGCAATACCCCAAGGTCACTGTCCTTGGATTACTGCTCTGTGGCTTATCTATAATGGGGCCAACAGCCTGGCTGGGCCCGTGGGCAAGGTGGGGGAGGGGGTTCCTACTCTGAACCCTGGAAGGGCAGAAGGGACAGGGCTGAAGTTTGGTAGCCCTCTGGGCTTCCGAGAAAGAGCTGCGGTTCCCCCAGAGATTTAAAGGGCCTGGGGTTTGGGGCCCTTTTGTATCACTAACCTCCCCCGGTTGGCAGGCCTGCCTATGTCCAGACAGCGGTGTCGGTTCAGTGACGCGTGCAGAGGCAATACCATCCCCATGGCCACTTCCCAGGCCTCCTCCTCTCACCTTCCCAGTCTCAGCACATAGTCCACAGACAGGAAACATCTCCCTCCGGCAGCACCAGGGTGGGACAATGTAGGGGAACAGTCCACCCTGTGTAGGGCTGCCACTGGGCACTGCCACCTAGGGCACGTGACAGGTCGGATAATGGCGCCCAGCTGGACTGCCCTGGCCGAGCTCAAGGGACTCCATCCTCCAGCCCCATCACAATGGCCATGTCATGGGCTCGGAGGAGGCAGTGGGTAGAGGATTCCCCATCCAGGGGCTGTTGGGTGGAGATGAATTAGGGCTTGAGTGTCGCAGCCTTACTCAGCCATGCAAAGGCCCTGCTAAGTGCCCAGCTCAGAGTGCCATACGCCTGCACTGGGGAGAACAGAGCGATCCCCACTGGAATCAAAGAAGTTTAGAGGGGCAATGAAGGAAGAGCCCCGGCCATTCCACATGCCCTCTGCATCAGCCAGAGTAGCTGGTCAGGGGCACAACAAGGAGACAGCTGCTCTGCCCCAAGTGCCCCAGAGCAAAGGGGGGAGGAAGAGAGGGGCAGGGAAGAATTGGGACTGAGAGGGGCTGGCTGTGCTGGCTCTGCCGGAGACAGCACGCTAAAAATGGAAGGGTAGCCATGGCAGCAGGACCTAGCCTCTCCCAGTACAAACCCCGCCGAGCC